TAAGAATTTGTTCATAATTTCATTTATATAAATAGTTTAATAATACAAAATCAATATTTAAGAAAAAATGAAATAATAATATATATCATTACTATTAATAATGATAAAAATTCTTTGTTTTATATAATTATATTGATTTAATAATAACAATAAACTAAATTATTATGAAAATTAAATTACTTATAAATAAATATGTATAAATTATACAATACAAGTTAAAATTTTTGCAGTTACTGAATGTAATTTATTTAATATATTTTTATATTAATAATATATAATAATAAAAAATATTATAAATTTATAGGTTCTTATATATTGTATATGAGTTATGAGTAAATTAAAATGGTTTGTGAATGAATCAAACTTTGCTTTAAATGTGATTATAATTATTATTTGAGTCATTAATTATAACATCCATTTATGACTCAAAGATAATCGATTTCAAGTTTTATTTATATATTTTTCATATATTTATATTATGAAAAACCTTTTAGAGGTTTATGTTGTTATAGATTAGAGACACTCCTTATTTAAATTGAATTTTCGCACATTTTTATATAAGTATGCGTTATATCTATATTAGATCTTTCTCTCTTTCTTTCTCTCTTTCTTTCTCTCTTTCTTTCTCTCTTTCTTTCTCTCTTTCTTTCTCTCTTTCTTTCTCTCTTTCTTTCTCTTTTTCTCTCTCTCTCTCTCTCTCTCTCTTTCTTTCTTTCTTTTCAATCTATACAATAATTATACTGAAGAAAGAAAGAGAGAGAGAGAAAGTATTGATTCTGGTTTTCAACTATTTATTTCTAACATGTGTTGACTAATTTCATTTAAGAGAGAAACTGGTGTTTCTTGACTATAGTAATGAATTTGTTGATTGCATGGCATGTTTGCACATATAATAAAAATCACGAATTCATTTATTATATAAACTTTGTTCACTCATTAGCTACTCATATGATCAGACAAATCCATACATTGAAGACTTAAGTCACTATCAAAAACACCTTAATATAATTATATACTTTATATTTAATCTTTATATTTATCTTATCAATTACCTATCAATTGATAAATTGACAAAATCACATTTTCCTTATATAATATATTAAGTTAGCAAATAATGAACCATTTATGAGTTATTTATATATATCAATATATTACATATAAGCAATAGTTTATGTCATTCACTAGCAATCATCTCTCTCTCTCTCTCTCTCTTTCTTTCTTTCTTTCTTTCTTTCTTTCTCTCTCTTACTATCTGTCCGTCTCTTCTTTAATTTCAATGACAGAAGTGTTATTCAAATGTCATATAAATATAAAAGACATTTGAAATGAGATTCTATAATAACGTACAGTTTATCCTTAGTTTATGATATCATATGTTAAGTAAGTTTAGTATTATATGATATGTTCGCTGAATATTATATTCACTTTATTTGAAAAATACTATGAATTGGTTATTCAGTTATTCTATTCAATCGAGTCTCTCGTGTATAAGTTGGTGCTCTAACTTATTGCCAATAGCTATATAAAACTATATATACTATACTATACTATACTATAATATACATACATACATACATACATACATACATACATACATACATACATACATACATACATACATACATACTACATACATACATACATACATACATACATACATACATACATACATACATACATACATACATACATACATACATACATACATACATACATACATACATACATACATACATACATACATACATAMATACATACATATGTACAATATATGCAATATATATAATAACATATATATAACATTATATATATGGCATAGATATGGCAAAACTGAGAGAAAAAGAGACAGAATTGCCATGAGATGTATGAGAGATAGAAATGCATTAATGAATAACAAGCTCTCTCTCCCTTCAATCCCAAACATAACTACCAAATAATATACACTGTATTACAACATAAGCGTAAAGCAAATCTATAGAGTATTGCTTTCGATATAATTATTTTCATTACTTTATTTGTTTTGAAAATATTTTTAAAAATTGACTTCAGATATTAAAAGCAGTTTTTAAATACAAAGCACATTGTTTATAGCATAACAAATTATAATGCAATAAATTTTGTGATATTATATACTAAATATTTTGTTTTCATTGCACTGTACTGTCATAAAATGGCTTTCATAGTTAAATTAGATAACAAAAAACATAATTATATATAATATTCATATGTAAAGTTATAAAAATAGATTAGAGTTATATTAACAGTATATATTTTTTTATTTATATATACTGTATATAATACGTAACTGTTTTGATAATATAACGTATGATGGGATGCGAGACTACAAGAGCCCAGACATTAGAAATCAATAGACTTTTGGGACGACAGTGGCATCACATCAATGCAGTGAATCCCATGACTGACACTATATTTCCATTATATATGGCATTCATTTTGTCGACATTTTGCTATAAATCCATAACTAATCTATTTTTCATATAAATGACTTATTTTTGAGGATAATCGCCATTAAATGTGGTCACAAATGAGAGCGCATTCAACTTTAATTGATTAGCCATTCATTCAAATATATATTTCACTTAAATTCATATCTCTTTATAAGATTGTGGTCTAAGACATAATTGTGAAGCAAAAAGCAATAAAACAAATAAAACATTTACATTAAAAAATTATTTATATAATAAAAAATAATAATAAACATTAAATAAATAATCGATTAATAAATGCAATTGGACTTATTGCACTGCAATTTAATTTATTCATTACATTAATTTTATATATGATATTTAATAACTTAGTTTTCAATAACTATAGGCTACATAAGATTGGGATATATTATATATTATATAATTCAAGTGATATTTACATTATAACCGCAAGTCTTTAAATATTTTTATATAATGATAGTCTTGTTATAAATACATTTCATGTGGTCGTCAACTCATAAAATTTCCTTTTCTTTCATTAACTTATTTTATACATTAAATTATGATTTTATACAATAAAATTATTATACAATTTTAAGACTTTGTTAAATTATTATTGTTAGTATAATATACATATTATATAATATAAAATAGTTTAGTTTTCTGCACATAATTGTAAATTCAATGCATATTTTATTGCCAAATATAGCCATTTATCAGAAAATGTTGATAAATTAAATCCTGTTATCAGCTAATTATGTGTTTTCATTTATAATTACATTATTATTTTATATATACATTAATAATATTATTAAACACATGCTTTTCACATTGAAAATGTTTTAAACTTTTAAATACACTTTTAAGTAATAAATTTTAACCTTTCATTCAACTCATTCTTATGAGTAAACATTATATTAATTAAATTTAATTATTTAAAAACAAAATCATATTCTAGTTATAAATTAGAAAAATATGAAAATTGTTTATAAATTAAAACTTAGGATACTTTGTCATTAAATGTGTTTTTGTTTGTGAATGTAATAAAACATTTTGTGACAATCATTATAATGATTTTATGACAATTTTTACATAAAAATATAAACTTTGGTTATGTTTATTGCTTTTGACGCATATGACTGTCGATCGCAGTATTTTAAACAAAATACTAATAATATAGAAAAATTATTTTCATGCATTAGACCATAATATATCAATTTAAAAAATTATATTAAATAATTTTAATAGACAATTTTAAATTAATATTCAATTTACATTAATTTATATAAACTAATATTGATTTGCAAACTTAATAATGCTATTAATATTAGTTTTTACATTATATCCTTTATATAAATTATATCTATTTAAGTGCATTAGTGTAAAAGTTTAATTTATAAAATTATTATTTAATTAATAATATTTACCTAATAAATTGGTTTTTTAAAACTAAATGAATATTATTAAAATGTTAAAAATAGTAATTAAATCAAAAAATAAATATTAAATAAATAAATTAGAATACTAATGTTTAAATAAGTATTTAATCTTAATAATTATAATAATTTAAAAATATTAGAATAAAATGTTAAAATGTCAAAAACTTTTATATAACTAGCTTTAAGTGTTTAGTCATGACATAAAATTACTGTATACCGTATTTCTAAAGTTGTGATTAACTTAAATTGATTTTTATTACAGGTATAAAAACCAATACAATTAGATAAAAATAGTAAATAGTTTCTACAATTAATTAATATTAAAATTATAAACTTATAAGCGATCGGACAAACCATATGCTGTTAAACAATAAACTATGCGATAGTTGTATAAAATTTGTATATTTGTGAAGGTTTTTTGGTTTTGATTATAAAAACTGAAATTCAAATAAATTATTTATAAATCATTGCTAATGTAATAAAAAGTAATAAAACATCAGTTTGTATATTGAATAAAGTTGTTGTAGATTTTTGATGTCAGATATATCTCATATGAATGTATTGCAGCTGTGATTTTGTACATTATTTTCGGATTTTACAATAAAAATCGTTTCAAACGGCAAATGAATGATTGATTTTTGTTTCATTTCACTCAAGCCTTATGTTAAAACAAATGTGTCAAAAATCGTGATAACAGTGCAAATGCAATACAAAACTTCAATTATGCAATCAAATAAATGTCTGCATTTTGTTTAAAATAGAGTTTATCTCTTATTTTTTAGTAAAATATATCCATTTCTTAGTTGACATCACTTTTGTATTGTCTTAATATTTGTAAATTTGATTTTCAAGAAATATTAGATTTAAATAAATAAAAAAAAATCACTTAAGTTTGAGATCTATATTAGCAAATAGGCTGATATGAGACACATTTTGTTAAAATATTATTTTCACGTATTAATTGAATAAAAGCTAAATCACAAAAGCAGATTATTTTTAGTTTTAATTATGTTTAAACTAAATTTAGTTAAACAATGTTTTATTTGACATCAATGACAGTGTCAACGATACACTTGGAGGTAGTCATACAAAAGTTTTGCTACAAAAATATTTAAAATCTCAAGTGTTTGAGTTGTCACTATCGTTGTTGTTTTGATCAATAGGCTTATAGTTGTTAATTGATGGCACATCTCTCACACCATTAGTATTATTATTACTATAGTCTTTAGGTTGTGATTCAGTGTCTTCGGTGACATCCAATTCAGGACTACTGACCCATTCGTGATGTGGTGACATGTATTCACTGTCCACAGAGCTGTCGTCATCAGAATCAGAGTCATCATTAGAGTCGTCATTTGATTCATATATGGGTCGTGTATTCACAAGAAAACCGATTGGTTGAGAAAACTGGTTGACTGATGACTTGTCATGTTTGGGATCACCACTACCTGAAGTTGCAGTTCCACCACAAGTGGACAAAAGGTTTTCAATGGAGAAAGCGTTAGACTTGTTTTGCGAAGCACTTAATTTATTTGTGTTATATCTACGGATATGCTGTTGAGGAATAACTTTGGTAAAAATGTCGATGACGTCAATATTGAGTGTATCGGTCAACAACTGGAACAGTTCAGAGCCAACCAACTCTTTGGCTTCTTTGCTGAAATTAATTGCTCTCAGCTCTGACAGAGTTTGATGTATGGCTTCGGTAAGTGTTGTTGTATTCACACCTGGCTTTGCCTTTGACTGTTGTAATCTCTTTACTTGTCTTTCCAATTGTTTTTTAATTTTTTTCTCTTTTTTCTCTTTTTCTCTTTTGACCACTTCATCGGGTGGTATGGGATCACCGCTACATGACTGTGGGTGAGCATTATGTGCTGGTCTTCCCGGACCTATCAAATAATAACCACAATAATATATAATAAGACTTTATATATAACACTTTAATAATACAATTAATGTAGAAATTTGTAATTTATTTTATCTCATTCAGTATAATAATAATATTATTAGACAGATAATTCATATACTGTATTTATATTAACATTATTATATACATCAATATAGTATTGTACAGTATTATAGTATAACATATCATATAAACAATTAAATAGTTGGCTCAAACAAATGATTCAAAACGTCAAAACTTTAATTAATATTTAAAAAATAACAGCTAATATTATTATTGCTTGAAAATAGTAATGCTATTTTCATTGTCATTATTTAATGATTAATTGAAAGTTTTTGTTTTGAAGCAAATAAAAGAAAATCTAATAAAAATGTAATTAAAAAATAAATAAAACAGTGTTTTCACCCAAACATGAATATAAATTAAAATATATATATTATATCTGAAGCAAAATAAAATGTAAGACAATATAAATCAAATGCTGAAATATTTTTAGTTTTGCTTTAATTTTAAATAAGTGATTAACTTTTTATATAAACTGAGAATATCTCATAAATTTTTGCTCAATTCATAAGAAGTTATATAAAAATTTAAGTTATATTTTATTCAATTAATAATTAATTCATATTTAGTATATCTAAATTATAGTTTACATTTTTTATATAACGACTTTTTTAATTATATTAATTTTGCCGTAATATATATGTAGATATAAATATTTTTGTTTATGAACTCAGCAAATGATTTATGTAAATCAATGATAATTTCAAACCAATTAATAAGAGAGTGAATTGAAAAGATAAATAAGTTTTGAATTTTAATAACTGAATATATTGTATGTATTATTAAATAAGTAGCAAAAAACATACCTTTCTTAGTGTTTTCTCTTTTTCTCCATTTGGCTCTTCTGTTTTGAAACCACACCTAAACATACAATTAAATGATAAGTAATTAAAACGTTAATTCTGCTCAAAATATTCTTCATATTAAAAATAGATTTATTTTTTGTTGAAAAAAATCTCATTAATGACAATAACTTATTTCAATAATAATGATGATAATAATATTGTAATAATAGATTTTCAATTTTTATGTCTGATATGCTATTTCGTGAAAATAACATTTTATTTTGTCTGACAAAGAATTTTCTATTAAGATGTGTTATTATTATTATTATTATTATTATGAAAATCTAGCATTTGATGAGTTTTTGAACATATCATGAAATATAAAGTAAATGTTAACTTCAAAAAACAGTGAACACTGTTTCAAACGATATATTCTAATCATTTAACTCTCAAAAACATTGTATGAATTTCATGTGTTTTGTGAAACACTATATTTAACTGTCAGATAAAAACACAGTCAATCGCTTACATAATAAACTAAATTATAGGTATTATATTTACTGACATATTATTAAATGTTGACTTTCTATTTAGATGTCATACTATATTAAAATTTATTTGGTGTACACTCTGTTTAAAAAGATATGTTCACTTTTCCTCAATTAATGACAATATAATTGCTTCAAATTTCAAAAATAAAGTATTCAATTATAATTGAAGATAATTCTTCAAACACAAGGACTAACCACTCATTTATATTGGCATTCATTTCTTGCTTTAATTTTTTCTCATTTTTATTCAATTATCAATTTGATTGAAAACCTAGGTTTTCATAAAACGCATCCAATAATATATAAAATTTAAAACATATATAATATTTTGTATTTATCATTTAAGCATTTGTAATTATTTGTAAATTGAATGAATTTATATTTAAAAACAATTTTTGATTATTATTTTGATAAAAATGATAAACAATTAAACTATTCAAATATTAATATCTATTTCTATAAATAATAAACTTGTATTGATAAATAGCTACTTTTCATAGACATTTGAAATAATTTATATAGTTTTTTATGAGACATATGTATGATATATTGCATTTCTACTTGAAATTCAATTTTTGACTTTTTTATATTTTGTCAATTTTGCGGAAAATAATGTATGAATATTTGATTTGAATTGTAGGACTGGGTATTAATAATAATAGTAATAATAAAGATAACAAATTATGACAAATGTATAATATTTGATCAAATATTGAGACATTGAGTAAAAATTGAAAGCTTTTCTCATGTATTGCTCGACTCTGTGGGGGTTATCGGCAGTCAATCTATTGTGATGTTTAATATTATATAGAAAATAGAGAAACACTTGAGAGTTATGGAGCAATACTTTACTAAAGATTAGTCATTGAATACAATGTTTGTCGACTTTTGTGGCGATTGTTAGCAACTATAGTGTAGTTTTGTATTTGAATTACATGTCTGTCTCTGTGTTGCGGAATTTGTATCACGAAATCCAAGACATCCAAACATGCGATCAGATATTCAGATGATGGATGTGTTGCTTATTTAGTTTGCAAACAACAATGAATTTGTGGCTTCAAATGCATATCAACTGTACGATTGTGGTACTGCTATTCAATGCAACTAATCAAGTATTTTCCCTCAAAAATTAAACTCATTTCTAGCCGTTAATTGGTCTTCAAAAATGGTCATTAAATTAAATAAAGAAAAATATAAAATACAGTCACGCAATGCATTCAACACAATATAAAATAACATTTCATATAATTTTTATTACAATAATATTACAAACAGATTTGCTTTCATCTCAAATATCGACTAAACAATAGCTATCTTTCAAACAATAAGACGTCTTATAAAATAATATTAAATAAATTAGTTATAATATATTTTCTATTAAAACCTAATGAATTTATATATAAATATTATTTATAAGATTATTAATAATTTAATATAAGATATACTGTATACTTGATATCATTTGAGAACATTATAGTATTATAGCAATATTTTGTAGTAATATTGCATTTAAGTTTTGACTAAAAATAAAAAGATTTAAAAAAACAAATTTATAGACATTTACATTGTTTGTCAAATTATAGGCAAAACATGAATTTCACACAAAATGTGTTCAGATATTGTAAGTGAGACACAAATGTCTGGATTGGAAATGTTTAGGAGGGAAGGCGTGATGGATCGGTTAGTTGCCCGGTGCGGGTTAGCATAGATGACATAATTAATAAGCATAACACACATCATATAACACATGGGAGTGAAACACCTGCGCTTCTGGTGCTTTCCACACAAAACTTATAGCAATTTTGTGTATTCAATATTAAGATTATTTACAAAAATCGGCAGTTATTTACATATTTTAGTGATAATGCCATTATATCTCAATTAAGTATAAACACACATATTGTGTATACATATTAACATATACGTACTGTACATACAGTACATCAATATAAATATACCGGTATATAAATATAATTTAACATAATATATTATGTTATATATAATCAACACAAACACATATAAATAATAACTCAGTTAGTTATAAATAAATAGCAAAAAAATATTAAGAAAGTATATAATAACTAGGGTTCGGGCAACTTTCCAAGGGAGAAAAGTTTCCTAATAAAATCCCTCCAATATTTTATTTTCCCTAACTTCATCATTAGAGAGGAAAATATATAATATATTTTTACAATCAATAGTACCAAAAATTTAATATTTTGTATAAAATTTCATTAAAATATTTAAAAATTAATTTGAACTCAATAAATTTAGTAATACTTTTAACAATAACACTCAAAATAAAGTTTAATATAACATTTTGTTATTCAAATCTTATAATAAAATTTGTTTTTAGAGTTCAATAGGTGGTAGCACAAGGAAATAGATTCCCTGGGAATTCCCAGGGAGCAGAAAAAATAGGGAACTTTTGGAAATAAAACGATGGAGGGAATTTTCCAGAACCTTTGTAATAACTGAACACAAGCTGAATAATTTAACGGATAAGCGATCAAAATGGCATAATTTAAGCAAAACATTCATATCATACCTATTAGGTCTCAACTTATCATTTTCTCGGCACTTAATATTTTATGTCATTGCATGACATCAATTGCTCAGTTATTCAAATTTATTTGTCCACAATATGCCTCTAAATCATACACTGAATATTTGAAAAACTTTAACCAAAAATTGAGTTTTCATAACATATTGTAGTAATTTAGTAGTACTACAGTATAATAAAAATCTAATTTTATTTTTCAAATCTAAATGCAATTTTCTAGTAATAAAAAATAACAAACAATATACTGGTATAAAATAACAATTGTTATTTAAATGTAAAGATATTTAGCGATGATTACATTACTAACTAAAATATCGTTGGACTCACATTTAAAAACTATTATTAAACGCTAGTAGTGCTAACTTAAAGTAAATTATATTATATTTATATTATTGTTGTGTTAGTTTTTATCTTTTAAAGTACAGGTGCTTCACAATAAGCGTACATTAATATTGAAATCATTAGGGATGAAAGCCTTAAAAAGTATAATATAATATATACCAGTGCTCTAAGTGTAGGAAAGCATATCATGAATACAGCATAATTGGTATTCAGTGTATGTCAACAATTCATTTGATCATAGGATGTGCTTAGGATGTGCTCAACAACTACTCTATATTTATATATTTACTCTATTTCTAGTCGACTAACGTTAAGATCCGGATGTCTTTTATGTGTACCAATAATTTTTATATATTTCTCGTCTCATTAATGATAAAGTTATGAATTAATGATCAGATTATCGCTAATGTTATTGTTTATGGTATGTCTGTCTATTGTTAGTCAATTAACTGTTATAATAATCATCAGTTCGTTGTCCATCAGCTCTGGTTCACTAAACCAAACATTTGATGATTTTCTTGACAGTGATTTAAACGTATAGTAAATTAATATATAAATATTTAACTAACGCTTAAAAATAAATATTATTTTTATTCAATTGATAGACATTGAGTAGTAAGAGGAAGAAGGAGGGGTACAAAGCACCCATAGGTTGACTTAATAAGCTGTAAAGTGCTCACTGGTTGAGAGGAAATAAACAGAGATAATGGTAGCTCTTTGAGGTGATTGTCGAGTATTTGACGCTCGTTAGCCTTAATGGCAAATCTCAATACAAACACTATTTTTTGTCTACACTTATCTTTACTGTCAAACACATCCAGTGATGCCTTTATCTTATAGTCCAATAGCAAACTGTATGCTTAATGACAGTTCACTTATGTGACAACAACAACAACAGATATCTTAACGAGCGGACGATTGGGTGCTTTTGGATTAAAACAAAATAAAGACTGATTGCTATACATCTATACATTCAAAAGCCGGGGACTTTGGGACCACTATTTAGAGTTTGGTCACTCTATTACTTCTTTTTACTTCTATTTGTCTGAAAAGACACTCAATTTAGAAAAGAAAATACAAGACATGGAAGAATCAGAAGAGAGGAATAAGAATCGATGATCTCATGATCTGTCGGAGTATTTGTTCATTGCTTTGAGCGACTAAACTAAATACTCCCTCGAGATTGAGTCAGCTCTTAGAAACATTTCATTGCAAACGAGAAGCTAAAGGTGTCGAGGGATCACTCCATTGCCTAACTCTTAAACTTGGATCCAATACTCTGTTCAACCAATATTGCCATTACCTCATCAATGAATGTCCTCTACATTAGCCTCACATCCACTTTAATAATGATCACTACTTCTCTATAGATCTAAAAGACATTACTAAAGTCATAGTATATGTCGTTTACAATACATTACAATAGAGTTCAAAAAATCACTTTCGATTAGCACTATATTTGATTGTAATTGTCTTATAATTAAATCAAATCGATTTCACATTTTTCGACATCAAATCACTTTAACTCTCAACAGTTTAGCTAAAAACTAATACTTTAAAATAGACTTCAATTACTTTTGATAACACAACAAAATAAACAGATTTGTTTTTCAATTTAAA